TTGAGAACTCATATGAAAAACGTTCTTGTTCTGTAACGCACAAAAATCTTCAATGATAACTAACAACCTTGATCAAACGTTAACCGACTGAATATAGTGTACACTTATACCCTAGAGTATCCTCTTACTAATGGTAAAAAGATCAGCTCGCTAGCTGCAGCCGTTCTGGAGATATTCCTCTCCGAGTTTTCCTCATCTACTTCTGGCGCCGACAATAATTTTTTGTTGTCGATCAGTTTAGTTACTTGTTTCAAGTATATCATGTTAATATCAGTAATACATAAGAAACATAAATTTAACATATTATTAAAATTATTTAATAAAATATATTCCATTGTTGGCTTTATTTCTTTATTTTTAATTCCAATTTTAAGATATTCTAATTGAGAAAATAAATTGAAAATCAACTGTATTTTTTCAACATTACAATTGTAAAGAAGATTAAATGTTTTAACATTATTTATTTTTGATATATGTTCAACATCATTGTTTCTTTTAAATAAAAATTGTTCACTATCATCATAAAATAAATAATCAATTTCAATTGTATTTGAAGAATATCTATAATATAATATCTCGATCAATTGTTTTAAATGAAGATAAAATTTTTTAATAATTACTGTTCTAATTTTATGTAATGGAAGTATATTATTTAATATTTCTGATAAAGAATAATCCAAATGTTCCATACATTGTTCAAGTTTTAATTCAATAACATTTGAAAAATATATATTATTATTATTATTATTATTATTTGTATTATTATTGTCATTAATACCATAAATATAAATATATTTAACTGAATTAAAATGTTTTGTTTCAATATATGAACATATTTGTTTATTTAATGACCAATAAAATTTATAATAATTTCTTCTAGAAAGAAAGAAAATAATAAAGAATAAAAATCTCATTTCTTACCGAAATGGTTCAGTTGAATAAAAAGTTCCACTATTAACACGTTGAAATCAGTTATGTTCATGTGTAAAAAAACATTTTTTGGTGTACCAATATAATAAAGAAAATTGATTAATTAATTCATGATATGTTGATGTACTTTTTGATACACAACCATCATTTTTAATATCAAAAATACGTAAATGAGGCATATAAGATGGTATAATATGTTCTCATTTGTGATCAGCGGAGTCACACTTTTTGATTCCAATTCCGACTCCGACTCGGAAAAAATTTTTTTTGTTGAACCCGATTCTAACTCCGACTCCGTGCAGAAATTTTTTCGGACTCCGCTCGGACTCCGAAAAAACTCCGACTTTTCTTTGTAATTAGTTTACTGACATCTAATTCATTTCACGTAAAAATTTTATAGTCAGTATTTTTTTGTAAATTCTCAATAATATTTTCTGAGTATTAGTTTCAAAACAGCAGCAAAAAAATGAAACTGTCAGTGACGAATTTAATGTTCGATAAGTATTGTGTTCGCTCAGTTAACTTAATACTTGCTCAGTAAATTAATGAATTCTTTACTATTAGTACTAAAGTATCAGTAAATGATTTTGTTTGTTCATTAAATGAATAGGTTTTCATCAGTATTCAATTGAATGCTGAATAAAAGAAATTAAATACTGAACTGTTTCTAAAATTAATTACCGAAGTTTCGAATTCTTTACTATGCTAAACATACTTTTCTACTGAGCAAAAGAATACTCAGCGTGTGAGGGAAAACATGCTGAGCAATGATTAAAAAATATTAAACAATAAAATACATGCCATTCATTTCAATGCTTATTATTCTGAAGGGATAAAAATATAAGCGAATCAGTAAGAAATGAACAATTAATAGTATCAAAGTATATGTGGGTGTGGGTGTGGGTGTGGGTGTGGGTGTGAGTGTGGGTGTGGGTGTGTGGGTGTGAGTGTGGGTGCGAGTGTGGGCGTGGGTGTGGGTGTGTGGCTGTGGCTGCTGAAGTCGGTGAAACAAAAAGAGGGTGTGTGGATTTGGGTGGGTCTGAGTCTGGATCTGGGTGTTGGTATTACTTGAAAGAAAACGTACAAGCACACACACACCCACACTCGCATCCACACCCACACCCATCCAACAAAACATCTACCACTATAAAAATCTGTCATTTAGAAGTGGATTAAAAATTCAATTTCATTTACTGAATGAAAAGAAGAGTTCAAATTTAAACTTAAATCAATTTACTCTACTGTAGACATTATTGGAGAGTGTGAGTGTGGGTGTGCGTGTGCTTGTACGTGTTCTTTCAAGTAATACCAACACCCAGATCCAGACTCACACCCACCCAAATCCACACACCCTCTTTTTGTTTCACCGACTTCAGTAGCCACAGCCACATCCAGCCACAACCCCACGCCCATACCCACGCCCACACCCACACCCACACCCACACCCTAAAATTCGATGATATAACAAAAAGCCCAGCAGAACGATAAATGCCGATTTATATGAAGCAAGAACAGTTCCTTGGAAAATCAGTTACTTTTTGCTGCAATCCTATACTAATTTTGTTTGAGGAAATATAAGTGAATAAACTTGAGGGTGTGGATGTGGGTGTGTGAGTGAGGCTTATCGTTCTATGGAAGAAGAGAAAAGCCCCATGCACATCACACCCACACGCATCCACACTCACACCCACGCCGATACCCACACCGATATCCACACTCCACACCTACACCGATACCCACATTCCACATCCACACCGATACCCACACGCTACACCCACACCCATACCCATACTCAAGCGTGTCCGTCGAAACTACATAAAAAAATAATATTTCGAGAAGTCATGTCGATATCCAAAAAGAGTTGAATCTCGTCTGTTCTATGTTACTCTAAAATTCTTTCTAGTGACTTTGTTTAAAAGTAAATTTAAAATTATTCGAATAGAAATGCATTAAAATACAGAAATTCGTCATCGTAATTTTCATGTTATACTTCTAACTAGGGTAGATGTGACTTGTATTTTAAAGAATGATGTGATTTATCACTCAAGTAAGCTGCATCAGTCGTTGAGCTCACGTTTTTCAATAATGAGAGTATTTTTGAAAGAGGCAAACAAAATATGAAACATGTAAATCAATTAAAACCACGGCTATGGAATTATTGCTTTGCTAACAGTATAGCAGAAGAACTAATATAAGAATCTCGTCAAGTAAATGATTTCTCACCATAAATCGAGCCTTTACGCTTGATATCTTCATCAAACGAATGAGATTCGTTCCCATTCGATTTCATTGTAGTAAACAAAATATGATATACAAGGTGCTTGTTCGTGAGCGTTCGCTATTTTTGCAAATACCTTTCGTATGTGAGATCTAATTTTCCAAACTGATTCTATCGGATATTAGAATCAACTATCATTAACTGAATACGAATTTCATAAATTTGCTCGGTGTGTTTCTACTTGTATATTTTAGCTAATGAACAATGCACAGCTGTCATTAGATTGCGCCTAATGCGCTACAATATAATCCCTGTTTCGTTCTATTCAAAGAAGTTAGATGGCTGCAGACATTAGGAGCATTGACTTCCATAAACTAGGATCAAACTAGTGCTATTTCGTTTTACTCTTTCAAGCAAGAATTTTCTGAGCAGTATAATTATTAACTGTATGAACAATTACCATTACTGCGAGATAATACAACAATTCTATTTTATTAAAAAAAGAATACGATAAAAAATGAAAGTATCTGAATGATTCAGTACTTTTTCGGAATGCAGTAGAAAATGAAAATCGATCTAGTTAAGTTAAAGTTATTCCTATCTATTGAATATGGCAAATGATTTGCGGTCCATCCTCATCTTTATCACCAGCCTGTTTAACTCTTACACCAGCGACAGTTGTTGATCCTTCTAGAAATTCTGCTGGAAATTGTTTTCGAATGAATTCTGTTGCCGGTTTGTGGAATTTTTCATAAAATTTGATGTAAACTTGATTCTTTTGTTCAATAGATAAGCGAACATAGTTAGGATTGTTCTTGATAACAATGCATTCGAAACCCTCAGCATAAAATTCCAGAGTCTTTTCAATCTCAATTGCTGCTGGTCGATGTTTTGGGTCATTGGCTGTACATCGAGTGATGAGATCTTGAAAGATTGGACTCTCTTCTTGAAACACAATCTTTTCTTTAGCAAACATTCGGAAATTGTGCTGCTTTTCAGTAAAGAGTTCATTCAAAGTTAGGCCAAACATGAAAATATCTAGTTTTTGATCATATGTGCCGCTGTAAAATTCTGGTGGCAAGAAAGATTGACAACCGGTACGCGTATGCTGATTCAATGGGTCAACAACGCGTGCAATCCCCATATCACCAATCTTGCATGTATATTGTTGATTAACCAAAATATTATCTGGTCGAATATCTCGATGAATCATGTGGTGGTCATGGATCTTTCGCATCGCACTAGCAATCTGTCTGGCCATATTAACTTTTTGCTGCAGACTGATTTTGGTTTTACTTTTGATTACACTTGTTAAACTACCGCGTGGCATATATTCCATGATAATCATGTAAATACTTTTGTTTTCCTGTCGACCCGCGGCATATCCGTACGTTTTGAGAATGTAACCACCAGATAATTCTATATAAGCAGACAATTCCTTGGCAAAACTTTTCTCTAAAGAACTAGACTCTTTGCTATCAGGCACGACAATTATTTTACAGGCCACTGGACGATTTTTTGATATCCATCGAGCCTTATAAACAGTACCTTGAAAACAGTCAATCGTTCAACAGGTCGAAAAATCGAAACACTTACCGAAATTACCACTGCCCAATTTTTCACCCAGTTCAATATCATTTATAGATATCTGTACGATCACTCGACGAAAAGTAAGAATCAATGGGTGTGTCAATTTGTGATCATCTGTTGTGACACCTGTAGTAGCACATTTTAAACACAAATCATAGTCTGGACACGAATCACATTTGAAGCGTAATCCAACAAAGTCAGAAACATGGCATCCGTCACAGGTAACCGATTTATTTTCTTCTTTGGCATAGAATTCTTGGAGTTTTTCGAGCGTTACATCATCATTAGATGCAGCTCGACCAAAGAGTTCGTTTGGCAAACGGAAGTGAGCGAGTAAATGTCCATTCTTATGGTTTTTGGGTTCGACACGACGTTCAAAACATCCAGCACATAGATTGAAATTATGACATTGCAAACATTTGTAACGATCATCGCGTATAGGACTATCTCCGCATTCATCACACGTGACATTGTGCAATTCTTGTCCATCGTCTTCACCACCCCTTTTTGTGCCTTGAACAAGTTGTGTTAGGATTTGTTGCATTAGAGCCGTTTGAGCTTCATCCGAATGCTTGTGGGTGCTTGTATCTGAAATCGATCGTTATGGATGCGGCATTATTCTTTGAAAAAAGTCTCAGAAGAAAAGTTTTCTCCTACCCGATTTACGTTCAGGTGTCTGTGAAACAGGATTATGAAAAATTTCCTTATCACCAGTCGTTGTTGGTGGTGGCTCTGATAAAAATAAAAATAGTTATTTCATCAAATACACGCCGCATATTAATTTACTCTTGTTTTCTTTTGCACCTCTGGCAGCCGAATGTTCGGAAGTCGCATTTTTAAGAAACTCTTCACACTCCTTTTTCGTCCCTAGAGTAAATCTCACATAGACAATTCTGATTTGCAAATAACGTTGCTATACCTGTAGCAATCACTGTCCCCCGACGGGTTTTGCCATTGATCTTAACTGGATACACCTGACTTACATGAATGGTATCAGATGGGTCTTGCACACATTGCTGAGGAACAGCTTCCCAGACATCATCAGTTCCCAAACGAAACACACAGTATTGTTCCTCACTGTTTTTGTTTTTTCCTTCAATTAAAAAAAGTTATGTGATTCGATCAAGAGTTCAATTCCAGTATCATTTACCAGCCATGGCATCCACGAATTCCTGTTAAACGTTTGATCAGTAGTTATCTTTGCTTAAACACCCTTTCTTTCTATCTCAATTTTTTTACTGTCTCAAGTACAACAAAAAAAAAAGCAACATTGTAAAAACAGGCAAACATAAATATGCCTGCACGTTGGTTTTTTCCACTATGCGTCATTTTATTCATCAAATATTAGCATTGCAAGCATTTCTTTTACTTTTTTTTCTTTTCTTATTGTATTGGACAGGCGCTATGGTGATGCAGAAAAAAAAATACGACAGATGAATTTTCATAAAGGGTGGGTATGGGTGTGGGTGTGTGGGTTGGTGTGGGTGTGGGTGTGGGTGTGGGTGCAGGTGTGGGTGCGGGTGTGGGTGTGGGTGTGAGTGTGGGGTATGGATGTCTGTGGGTGTGGGGTATGAATGTCTGTGGGCGTGGGTGTCGGTGGGTGTGGGATTGTGGCTGAATGTGGCTGTGGCTGCTGAAGTCGGTGAAACAAAAAGAGGGTGTGAGTCTGGATCTGGATGTTGGTATTACTTGAAAGGACACGTACAAGCACACGCACACCCACACTCACACTCTCCGATAATGTCTACTGTAGAGTAAATTGATTTAAATTTAAATTCTAACTCTTCTTTTCATTCAGTAAATGAAATTGAATTTTTAATCCACTTCTAAATGGCAGATTTTTGTAGTGGTAGATGTTTTGTTGGATGAGGGGTAATTTTAACATCAATATTTTTTTTTCGGATATCGATGTGGGCTACATAAAAATACATAAATAATTTATTCTTATGGTTCTTTGAATATTACCTTCCTGTCACCATCATTTTTCGAAACCAGTCGGCTTTTTGATAAGTTTAAAGAAATATTGAATGAATATAGCTCCTTTTTTTTGACCTTTCGTCCTTGGTTCACATTGTAATTTAATAGGCTGCAGATGTGTTGATGCTGCATAAGTCAGTGCTTAATTTGAAATTTGAAATGGATTTTCATGATTTTCATATTGTTTATTAGTTGAGTCTTTGGTATCATCTATTCTACTCCAACGTTGTTGAAATATTCTGTTTTCCATGGTATTTGGGTTTGAATTGGTAAATGTCCTGCTTAGAGTTCTGCGGGACAGTCCCGAATCCCGAAAAATCCCGTTTGTCCGGTCCCTTGGGACAAACGGGACTGTCCCGAAAATTTTTCAGGACGGGACAAACGGGATCGGGACAAATCGGAAAATAATGTTGTCCCGAAATTTTTGAGCTTGTATATCGAAATCCGTTGTAAACTTGAAAGTTCGTATTGTTCACAAACATTTTAGTACTTAAATAAAAAGTGTCGACGAAAAACACAAAAAAAACAAGCCACGAGATGTTTTAATGTTTGTCTATTATCATTCTCTTTATCAGCTCTTTTACCTCTAATGCCATTTAAGCACATTGTCTTATTTGGTTAACGCACTTCCCCGATCAATTAGTGTATGAATGAGAGCGAGAGTTTATTACAATTCCAGTTGTTTTTTTTATTAATCTATTTTTCTAAACTTCGCTACAGGCAGATAAATACTTTTTAATATTCGAAGTTCGGATATTTCGCTCGATCTATAGCAAACTTTAAATTTTATCCGTATCTGAACTTTTTTTCTGATCGACATTGTATAGTCAATAATACTTATCAGAAATTCATAAATCATCTCATAATCATAGATATGAATAAATTGTTTCGATTGAGTGTATATAGAAGACGCGTACTGCTATTGAACAAAACCATATCTTTATTTTTTTACCGTGTACAGGACAAACGGGATTTTTGGGGATAGTTCGAAAAAATTCGGGACGGGACCAACTGGATTCGGGACTATGCAAAAAATTTCGGGACAGGACAAACGGGATTAGGGACTATTTAAAAAAATTCGAGACGGGACAAACGGGATTCGGGACATAGAAAAGTTTGTCCCACAGGTCTCTAGTCCTCTTGTTGATTCTTAACATTTGGTCATTTCTTGAGTAATTATTTCGTCTTCGGTATCTTGAGATTTTTCGTTGATGATTATAGTTCCCATTATCATCATTTACAAGAGGGTATGGGTGTCTGGATGAAAAGAAGTTATACAACCACCCCATACCCACACCCAGGTAGACGACTAGCATCACACTGCTCTTTAATATTAACAGCTACTGGACGACTTTATTATTGCTAGAATGATAAGCTTGTATTTTTTACTGCTCTAATGTAATTTACATGAACTAAGTAAAGAAGAGATCTGCGCAAAATTAATAGTATTTCAGTCAAGTTTCCTCGATCGAGAAATATCTACTTTTTGAACATAAAAATTTTGTATTAATTTACTGAAAGCATCAGAACCTGGGCTGTCAGATCTCTCAAAACGTAACTCTAAGATTTGGAAATTCATATAATGAATTGGATCTTCTCAATCCTTACACTCTTTGGTAAAGTTTTATAAGAATATCGTTATTTACCGAAAACAGATTTCCTGCAACTCAAGAAAAAGTTGAATGAAACAGTGTTACCCTCATGACAACCAGTTATCCTCTTGTCGTAAAAGAAATAATGTGTTAACAGGAATAAAATAAACTTAATATTAAGACTCTCTCCCATGATTATTCATTTTGCGCAGTGAACATTCAAAACTCCATCACATTTCTAAGACATGATTAGGCTGCTGTGAAAACGTTTTACTTAAATTTTAGCCGTATCCTATGAAATTTCAGGCAGACATGCATCAAACAAAGATCAATACTAGGTCGTTTCGTCTGCGAATATTATTTCTGGCTCTCCTTTTATATATATTCCACTATTTTGTTTGAAAGAGCATGCCAGAATGCAACGTCTATTGAAGGGCTCTTTTCAGTTTGTTTTTATTTTGCAGGAGACATGTAATCACAATTTCGATATTCCACAAACCTTCACAAATTTGGAATTTATGAAACCATTTCTAGAGTATTGACTTTCCGATTCCGCGTCTCCTAAAAAATAAAAAGAAACTGAAAAGAGCTCTGTAACACGCGCTAGATTCCGATATGTTATCTCAAAAGGAAAAAGTACAACATGTAGAAATAGAGAGTCAGAAATACGATTCGCATAAGAAACGAGTTGCTCTTAATTTTTATTGGATGCTTATCAGTCGAAAATCTCATGGCATATGGCTAAAAATTTTCATCAAAATTTCTTCACCATAGTCTAAATATATTGCACGTGATTTGAATACATAGGGCATAAATTCAATCATGTGAGGAGAAGCACACGAACGGTTCAGTGACCCGTGAACGACTTATATTATCTAATTAAGTGATGCTTTCCGCTCCCTTTTAATTCATATTAATCGTTAAGTAAATTTACTTGAAGTGGAGGTCACTTAATTTACGTTGAAAATTTTTCATCTCGAATGCCATATTTCTTTCGGCAAATTGCAAACAACTCTAAACAATTCAGCAAAAAAGAAGATCAGATTGCTGCGCAAAGCAAAGCAATCTTTATTGGCCTAGCAATAAAATACGTATGCGACAACTTGAAGTCTGAAACCAGCGATTTAGTATCTAAAATGAATTTAAATGTGAATGTAAATAGCTAAAGAAA